CAGTTTGACCATTGGAAAAAATACAACGATGAAATTAAAATAGATGAACTCCATGAATTAACTTTATATTATGTTGAAACTATAGATACAAATGTAAGACCATTAAAAACAACAATGGACAGCATTAAGGAACTAATAGAGAAAAATCAACACACCAAGCAGATGATATATTCTATTGCATATAGTAAAGGTATTGACGTTGCTACTTATATAGAATTTCGTAAAACACATGATTTAAGTTTGTTTTTAAATCCTGATGAATTAAAACAAGCAATTAGAAACATTGTAATAAGTGGTAATCACAACTTATTTTTCAACAAAAAATATAATCTAGTATATGGCAAGTTTTTAAAGGAATTCATCAATGAGAATAAGACACACAAAATCAATATTTTATATTATAAACAACCTTCATTTATTCATAAGGTTGAATATACAAATATTATTAATGAACTTTTACAAACAAATATAGATGAACATGACGAAGCATTAGATAAACTAATTAAAAAGTTAATAGCAAATGTAAATTTTGGATTATTAGAAAAAGGAGGTGCTACAGCACATCAAAGTTTTTTTTTAAAAGTATTGATGAAGCAGTCCATTATCAAACAGAATACGGAGGTAAAATTAATAAGTTATCGCATATTATAAGCGAATATCCCGAAATGATAACCGAATATGACGACGAAGGAGGCGCAACTACAACATATTATGGATTTGATGAGGATGAATGGGATGTAAAGGCATCATATTATATATTGAATTTGAAGGATAAGGCAGTATTAAGAAACGGATATCGATATATTAAAGAATTACTTTTACAACATCACAATTTTAAAATGAACCAAGACTTTAAGACATTAATAACTAATAATATTAATGTATATAGTGTAAAAACAGATGCTTTTGTAATTGATACATGCAATGAAGAAAAAACAAAGCAATTATTAGAATTTCATGATGATATAGGAGGTTGGAAAGTTTCAAAGCAGAGAGACGAAATTAATTTACCTACAGTAAAATTTAACGTTGTAAATAATGAATTAATCAAAATACCAGTTTATGAAAGTAAAACTATTGATATTAAAGATGAATACGACACTGATAACATTATAGAGATTGTTAAACAGAATAATCCTATTATGATCAGAGGTGAACTACCGGGCACAGGAAAGTCATATATATGTCAAAAAATGGTTGATAAAAATTATAAGGTAATTTTTATTTGTCCTACTAATAAACTATTACAGGCATTTGAAGGAGAAGCAATGACGATAAATAAATTCTTTGGTATTAATTATGGAGATGCTAAATTAGAACCATTTGATTTTACAGAATTTGATGTAATAGTATTTGATGAAATCTATTTTAGTAATTTAAATATATACTGGAGAATAAAACAATTTGTAGAACAGAATAAGCACAACAAAATTATAATAGCAACAGGAGACACCAAGCAATTAAAACCAGTGCAAGAAATAACAAATACTCAAGACTATGAATTATACACTGACAATATTATAGATAATATTTTTACACATAATATAATATTGAAAGAATGTAAGAGACTTAACACACAGGAAGATAAGGATAAACTCAAGAATATAAAATATGATATTTTTATTAATAAATTACCAATTAAAACTATTATTGAAAAATATTTTGAATACACCACAGACATAAGTAGTTCCAAAAACAACATAGCATTTTTGAATACAACTTGTAAAAATGTATCAAATGAAATTAGAAAATTAGAAAATAGAAAAGATGAATATGAAGTAGGGGAATTTTTAATTTGTAGAGAATATACTAAAACTAAAACATCAGTTTTTAATGTAAATTTCAAATATAAAATAGTTCATATTGGAAGTGATGGAATATTTACACTAAAAAATGTAAAAACCGAAATTTTACAATCCGTAGAACTTGCTAAAATAAGAAGCAATTTTATATTTTCTTCTTGCTCTACATGTCATTCTACTCAAGGTAGTAGCATTGATGACACCATAACAATTTTTGATTATAATCATTTTTTGGTAAAGAATTATCCAGAATGGATTTTTACAGCGGTAACACGTGCTCGTGATTTAAACAAAGTCAAACTTTATAAATATACAAAGGATGTTGATGATGTATTTAATCAAAAATGTATTATGAGTTATTTTGAAAGGAAAATTTTGAATTATAAGGAACAAGACAGGAAAGCAAAAAGAAGCATACCTAGAGAAGGTTATGTAAATACTCAATGGTTTCTAGATAATATAAATAATCAATGTAACTACTGCGGATGTGGTTTTACTATTGATATGAAAAATGGTAATATCATTACAAATCTAACAGCACAACGAAAAGATAATGAATTAACTCATACAATAGAAAATATCATCCCATTTTGTAAATTATGTAATTGTAGTTGTACATGATTATAATTTTTAATTTAATTATGATAATATAATTTTAATTTTAATTTATTAATTTAATTTTAATTTAAAATTAAATTTCTTGTAAAAAGTATTTAAAGAAATATTACCTATAGATATTATATAGTGAGATGATGAAAACCAAAATCAATAGTTATATCAATAAAAAATGCTATGATTGTTGCCACTTTAAAAAGGAAAATATGGAATTGTATAAATTGAATTTACATAATGGAATAGTGAATAATATTATTGATTATGCATTGGACGAAGAAGATGTATGTAGAACTTGCAGAAGATGGCGACGATATCAAAATATAATAGAAAATATTTTGGAGATTAAAAAAATAGATAAAAGAAACGTAGAAGATGAAATTTTAATATTTTTAACCGTGTATGGAAGACCACCTTATAGTTATGTTAGAATATTTCTAAAAATCAGTAAGAAAAAATATAAAATGATTGAAGGTATATTATGGATGTTGACCTATTATAGTAGGGAAGGTTTTGATGTAAAAGAAGACATTAAAACATATATTGAAAGTAGAAAGTTTAATGTTAAAAATACAGTGAGAGATATTAATATTATTTTAAAAATAATGCATGAAAGACATAAATTATATATACAACTTAGTAGTCATCAATTAAATTATTATCCTGAACTTAAATTATGAAATTTTATCTACATAACCTAATTTAATTTTAGTTTATTAATGAAATTTAATTTTAAATTAAAATTCTTGTAAAAAGTATTTAAAGAAATATTTTATAATACTATTATATAGTTTGATGAGTGATACAGTCCACGATGCTAAAAATATATTGAAAAAAAGGTTTATGAGTTATAAATGCAAAGACTGTGAAATGCTAAAATTACCAATTGAACGCGGTTTTACAAATGGCGTTTGTAATAATATTTGTCAATACATTATATGCAATAATTGCAATAGAATTATAAACAAAATTGATGATATGAATAACAAAGATATTGATATTATAAATAATGAAACTCTTGATGATGATTTAGAAATATTTGTGTTTATTGTAATGAATAATTTCTTAACTATAGAAGGCTTTGATAATTTACTAACTGAGTGTGATGACGAAGGATATAATAATGATTTTATTTTTAAGTATTATAGTATGGTAAAAAAATTATATAACGTTTCTTTTAATATTAAACGTTTAAAATATGTTATATTGTTTGATTTTTTAAATGAGTTTTTAAATGATGAGTATAAAACTCACGAACTTAGATATACAATAACACGTGCAATTGGAATAATGGGAATGTTTAGAAAACAAATAGGAAGTACTATTTATAATGAAACAACGTGTGATAAAATAATAGAAAGAATTAAGAAAGAATGGTGCCCGTAAAAAACGAATGAACCAGACCTTGCCCATAATATGTCTACAAAATTTGTGATAAAATTTATTGTAAAATAATTTATCATATTTTTTTGGAATAATATTTTTTGAAAATTTATTTTTATTTTTTTTGTAAAATTTATTTTTTTAAAATTTTGTAAAATTTATTTTTTAAAATTTATTTTTTAAAATTTATTTTTTATTTTTTTGTAAAATTTATTTTTTATTTTTTTGTAAAATTTATTTTTTAAAATTTATTTTTTAAAATCTATTTTTTATTTTTTTGTAAAATTTATTTTTTATTTTTTTGTAAAATTTATTTTTTAAAATATGGATGAACTTACTAGGAAATTGCCTGCTTTAAAATGTTGATTTTTGAAAATGTGCTTTTTGAGGTGCTGTTTTAAAATGTTGCTAAAAGTGTGGGGGGGACCCTGGGATTTTTTATAGAAAAAAGATGGGCAAGGTCTAGTCTAACTATATGACCATGATAGAATAGGCAACCAGCACCAGTTCCCTTGAATATAGTGGTTTCTAGGGTGGGGTTTGGTGGGGGGTTAGAGGAAACCATGCTTCAAACTGGCAAGAAGTGTCGTGCCATAATGATGGTGTTGACCAAGCACGCTTTTGCCCAGGTGACCGTAGGGCGACCTTGTTGCCAACTCGATTCAATGGGGTTTGTCCGGATCATGATGGTTGGCAAAACCATGACTGGAAACAAACAAAACACGGACAAGTCTCCTGGCGGGCGTCCCGTGGGTGAAGCTAGGCTTGGTTATTCAGCTCTCGGCCAGTGAACTCTGTGAGAACTCAGCCGCAGACCTGGAACACGTCACACTTTTGAAGCTTGTAACGCGGGGCGCTCGATGCCTTCCTTGCCAAGGGCATATTGAAGGAACACCTCTTCAAATTAACTGGCTATAACACTGAAATACACCACTATTGGCCTGAAAGGCTTCTTGATCCGGGGTCGACCTTCCCTACAAGTCTCCAAGTCAAGGCTTCAAACTTGAGCGCACTGCGGCAACCAGTGAGCCTGGCGGGCGCAGGGGTCGGGCTTGCCTTTTGATCCTTTGGGTGAAAAAAACCTGCCCCCCGAAAACGGCAGAGATCCTCTAAAGGCTCCCTGTGAGCGGCTTGGCGCTGCAGCCCTTCGATCTGGGGCCCCAGGCGTGGCGGTACATGGGATCGTTGCAGGGGTGCCGGGGGTCAGAGCTGCCGATGGCGGGGGGCGGGATGTCGTAGCTGCGGCGCCAGATCTTCACCTGAAGAACAACTTGCTGGCACCCTCCCCAGAAAAAGCGAGGAAGGAATCCACAAAGAATGAATGGTGGGTGTTGCTGCTTTGCTTGGCACCACCAAGGTCTCTGTTCAAATCTGGATGTAAAAGCAGGTTTAGGGCTACGTGCTTGGGGGTGGTGCGTGCAGGGTTTCGGAGGATGCTGAGCATCCTCTGTCTTCTGCGACTCTCATCTTCATGGGTTGCTTCTCCGTACTCACGATGACTTCTCCCGAAACCCCTGGGCCTGTTTCGCGAAGCTTAGAAGAGGGTCTCGAACCTTTGCAAACCCGTCGTGCCTTACAGGAAAAAGAGACAGGCAGCCCCCAAAGCGGATTTCTACACTTTGAGGTGCCTTTCTTCTCAACCAACAAGGAAAATCGGAAACACAAACGGCTTACCCGGATTTCAAGAACCGCACCTGCTTCTCCCCGTGCTTTGCAGCTGTCTCTGCCTGCGGCTTGCGAGTGCGAGGCCAGTTTTCGCCAGAGGATGGGCGGGTGATACTGTGGATGGTTGCGAAATCCATTTCGCACCACCGTTCAGAAACCCAATGATGATTCCCCCGACCAACAATGGTTTCAACCATGGTTCCAAAGTGGTGCGAACGAACGGATTTCGTCCATCAGGAGTATAAAACGGATCCAAGTCCGTTCCAAAGTTTAAGCAACCAGCAAGCAAGTCTGGCAGCTTCCCAGAATCCTGCAATCTTAGACTAGTGCTTTGTTGTTTCTCAGGGATGGGAAGCCACATCGGTGATGGTACCAAAGTGGCTGATTCCTGTTCCTATGCCTACGTTGTCGCTTTCCTTTGGGGATTCTTCTGTGCCAAACCTCAACCATCAGGTCAAGTTCATTGCCTTCATATTCACAATGAGCCAAGCTGGTGCCCAAACAAATACATGTTTCTCACTGTTGTGAGACCTGGTTTCGCAACACAGGAAACTTGGTAGGGCTCACTTGCCCAAAGGACCTGGAAATACCCGGTTTACCTTTTGGAACCTCTCAAACTGGAACAGCGAAGACCAGAAGCTCAAAAGGTCGGCATTGAACAACTGAGAGGGATGGTTTGAGCATATTGCTTCGAGATCAAACGGCTGCATGGCAACCGCCTACGGCCCCATGGCGGCTGAAGGCCTTGTTCAAGCCCTGGAGGCCACCATAGTGCCGCTCGTTGAGCCTGGCGAAACCGCCGGAGTCGAGTCCGTCTTGCCTGCGCAAGATCTGTGTGGAGCTTTGTGGTTGCCTCCCAAAGTGGATCTCGGCTTGCAAGAAAAGCGACAAACATTGGCAGAGTAATTCGTTGGGAACTGAAATAGAATTTCTTGTGGGGGGTGGAGAGAGTCCGGAGCTTTTTTGGAGAAAGACCCTACATTGCAACAGGTTGGGTCGACATTGGAGAGATTCTAAGGACACCAACATCAATGCATGTGACCCACAAAAATTGAACGGATCCTTTCCCACTCTAAGGATGGCCAACCGCATGGTTTGGATGTGTCAAATGATGGGGGACCCGCACTGTGCAGGGATCGCCATACTTCAAACTCAAGGATCGCCCCCGCTTGCATTGGACACTGAATTCAAGAGAGACTGCATTGGTTGATCCTGCTGAGAAAAACTATTTCATGTATTGGTGAACCCCTATGTGACCTTCGTTTAGGAAAGAAAGGTCGGTCAAGTGGCAAGCTCTGCAACTTCGTCTCCCGTATCCAGACAAAAGCTGTCTTGAGAGTTTCGTAACGGTTGAAAAAGACACGGACACCAGAACAAACGCTTCACATATTCACGAGAAATAGGGGTGCATGGAAGACCCATGCAACCCAATCTGCCAAGCAAAAACACGTACCGCAACGCCATTTCGGCAGCGAGAAACCATGTCTGCATCTCACTCAATGAGTTTGTTTTGGCCGAAATAAGAGGCCAAGCCACGGCTTGATTTGCCATAGGCTCGACCCTCAAAAACTGGGCCGCTATGAAACTATGGCCACATCAACCTCAGCTTGAAGGGTCCAAACTCCCGGCGTGGCTAGCCTGTCAGCGGTCGCAACTGTCTTGTGTTTGAGCATGCCATCCATGTGCGTAAAGGCCCACCCTCCCCACCAAACCGTCAGCCTTTTTGCTAGTTCCCGAAACCCAGGCAGCTTCATGATCTGATTCGGGTTCTTGTTGCGGGAATAGTTTCTTGCAGCACCGCCTTGATTAACAACCACAGGGGATCCTATATCGCGAAGCACGGCAATCTCCTACCAACAAGATTAGGGCGCGAAGCTTTCACAGAAAATTCGCTCCAAGCCTCGAACAACTTACTTCGCTACAAAGTTTAAATGGGGACTATACCCTCTCCTAGACACAAATCGCCAAAAAAAGAAACCACCGCAGAGGTCCCCCAATTTTACCTTCATTACCCGGGAGCCTCCAAAAACACCACCGTCCTCTTGGCTTTCCCTTTCACCAAGCCCACACGTACCCAGCGCCAAAGGCGCCAAAGGCGCCTCCAGCTGTTGATCACCGGCATGGAGAAGTTCCCGGACTCCGCGAGGGCCGACCAGGCGGTGCGAATGGCGCGGCCTCGGCCAGCGGGGAGTTGAGCTCCCCAGGCGCCGATGTGCGGTACGCACAGGCTTGAAACGGCCACTGGGAAAGCTCGGATGCCATCTTCTTAGCGCATACACCATAAATTGGACCTGCGTTTGCTTTTTTTTTTCCTGAGTTTAGGAACGGTGTAATGAAGTTCCTAAAGGGATCAAGATGTGGGTCAGAATCAAAACCTGGTACAGAAATGGTGAACCCAGAACCATGTAAGGAATTGAAAAGGCGGCCGCAACAATTTTCCAGCTGGGAGTGCCCCTTACTAACCTTCATCTACCCGGGTTTTGATTGTGGCTCATGTGAGGTCGCGCATTCCACAAGACTTCTGAGGTCGTGAGCTTTGCCAACTCATCCTCTCTATGAGCTGCATGATTCCCCGTGTACCCGAGTTCATGATGTAAAACTATGACTCTGAGTTTGAACAAATACAGTAATGGTACAGCATCATGGCTTTCCTTGCAGTCCAAACGAGCATTCCCGCACCTGGCTTACGAGTTTGCTGGCTGGTGCTCACCTGCCAGTCCGCAAGCTCTCCGGAAAGGGCGAACCCAAATGAGAGCCGAAGCGCTTGAACCGGGGCAAGGCTTGGTTCTCAACGCCGGTCGTCCCTGCTTTTCAGCGACATTCTCGGTGATCCGCATTTCCTGTTGCCAGCCAGCAAGGAAACGGGGAAATCGGAAAACGTCCTTTCAATTGACCCAAGTGGGGTGCCAAGTCTAAGTGCCAGCTTCCCGATTTTTCCTAAGTCGGCCGAGGGCATTGCGCAAACCTGAACAGCACACGCAGAAGCAACACGCACCCAGCAGGCATTCACGGACGCATACGTGTGTGTGTTTATCCATGCCTGCATGCAATCTGTGATGTATGTATCGTATTCTGGATGTACTATAGTGCACTAACAGTGTTGTATTGTATTGCATTGGATAATGCATTGCTGGATATTGTGTTGCATTGTATTGCATTGTATTCGTACGGTGTGGTATGTAACGACAAAACATATGCCTACCTACATGCACATACGTATGCACGAGTTGGCATATTGTGTGCATACTCATGTACATCATTATGAGCACTCTACGCTGTTTGTATCCTTGTATCCCGGCAATTGCCAGTGAACAACGTCATATTCCCGGCATCTGACGCGCCGTCTCAGAATCCTCTAGCTGAGTCTCCGACGCAGCACCGACCTGGGATAGGGCCAGTTCGTGTCACCGGCTCCCCGAGTACAGGAACAACATAGCGAGCCTCATTTTTCCCAGATGAGCTGGCCCGAAAAAAGTAGGCGAGCTCAAGTCCTTGTGCCATTCTCTTGGCCGTGGCTCCAGGAAACTCTTGCGAAGATTGTCTAAAGCCGTTATGACCAGCCCCACCAATGGACCAACCCCAAGAAAAGCAACCCCAGGTGTTTCAACCATCACGAAGCACCTCAATTAACATCGGCCTTCGCAGGCGCTCAAACACCCACCTTGAAATTGCAAAGGGCACCCTATTTGGACCCTCTAGGAATCCGCCCAGAACCTACTCCGCAAACCGGCCTTTTTTGCAGTCTAGGTTGCTTGGGAGTGGCCCCTCCACCTTTGCGGGTTTTCCTCCTGGCCCGTTCCGTGCAACTCTTGGTTCGAAGGTTGCAGGGGGTACACCCGTTTCCCACGAACCATTGGACAGTATGCCACTCGGCGCCCGCTTCCGAGTGGAGGTCGAGCAGGTTGGCCTGTTCCCATAGACTTCCTTAACGAGTCATCCTGGTAGCTCCAATGAAGCCGGTCTGGCCATTTCAATATTCTCCTGAGTCATAGCGAGCAAACCTTCACCATGCAGTGGGCCTGGGGCTTGGGGCTCCATACCATGGCCCCACCTTCTCTCTTGCATGGTTCTTCAACAAAGAGTTCACACTGTTTGTTGAACAATGGGAACCATAGAGCAAGAACCGTGACCGATTGAAAGGGGCGAATCTATCCCATTTCAAAGGGGATTCCTTCGCTTTTGGAGGGAAACACCCCGTATTTCATCCGCATCTCATACATCTGTTCAAAAATAGAAGCTGCACAAACGGCTTCCAACCCGGAGAGCAGTGGAAAAACAAGGTGAAAGAAGAACGGTCCAACCACAAAGCAACAAAGCAGCCGAGCACCGCCTTTTTCAGGGGCCCCGACGTGAAGACAATGTCGAACTTGAAGCCCTCGTCCTTGAGCATCTGTCCGGCCTCCACCGCCTGCCCATCGAACGCAGAGGTTTTTTTTTTTTTTTGTCTGCCCATCGAAAGCGCAAACGGAAAATCGCGCGGTTTGCTTGGCAACACGCAGGGCAAAACTGTGCCAGGGCCACTTCCTGCGGATTGCAGCCAGATCACAACACGTGCGCTTGGGATGGGACATTGGGGTGCAAGGGCTCTGCTGCCAGGGCAGGTCAAAATCATGTGGTCGTTTGAACCTACTGATTCTGGCCCAGATTTATTGGGAACGGCCCAAAACCTTGAGAGCGCGGGTCTGCCTTCACGACATCTCTTGTGTTGTGGGGGGATGTTTTTTCCATGGTGTGGGCTGGCATTTTGCTCATGTGACAGCCTAGCCAAGTGCTCGCCTTACCCGTGATCCTTCGAGCCGGCATCTCCTGGTTTCACACGCCGGTGCCAAAACTCAGAATGCGTCATATGCCGCAGGTCTCAAAACTCTTGAGGAATGCGGCAAAAACCGCCAAGCGGGGCCCATGACGCATATGGAGAAAACCGATTCACGGCGTCACACAAACGCCGCCCAGCCGCTTCAACCCGCTCCCATTCATCCCTTTCATCCGCCTCCCTGCAGCCAGTTTCGCTGAGGTCCACATCTGCCCAGCCCGTGAAGATGTTCTTCACCTAAGGAACACCCGGAAGACATCGGCTAGGCCTTGTTTGGCGTCAGCTTGCCTCGAGGTGTTTGTGAACTCTTAACTATGATGGGGGTGGGGGCGAGAATTGAGCAAGGTTGTAGGGGACCCGTTTTGGGGTGGGTTGCGGATGAGGGGATGGGGACCTCCTTCTTAACTCTAAATCACAGGAACATGTATGTATGTATGTACGTCAACTTGGGAATGCAGCTGGAAATCAGCCCAAGGTTGTGTCATTTTTCTGAGCTGCAAGCTGGACATAGTTTGGTTCCATGAAGGAACCTTCACTCATGGGTGAGGTTGCAAGACGATGACAACAAATTCCACCCACTCTGGGACATGTCAATTGCCCACAAACGGGGTCGAAGGTCATATTGACCAACCACAAGCAAAAAGCTGTTGACCCCTACTTGGGAGGGTCAATAAGTAAAGTATATGCCCATGAAGTGTTTCCCCGTGGGTTTTCACTTGCTTCACTTGCAAAACGAGGCCCACTACTCGGAAACGTATGGACGTGTCTGCTTCTTGAGACTACCTTGCGGTTCAAAAGGGAAGCCAAAGTAAACCCCGAACGGTTTTCAAGCCCCCGGCGTTCCAGTCGCTCTCTCCGTGGCGCAGGAAGACCTTGGAAAGCTTGCGACTGCCATGTCCCTCTTAAACATTGCCTCCAAAGGACACTTCATCTGTCATGGGCCTAAAATCTGATGTTTGCATCACCCAAGGGACAGGATTCTAGGGACAGCAGGAATCATGACGTGACGTAAAACCCATGCTTCGTTTTCACCCCGTCATGAACACCGGAGCCGATTGCCTTGCAAAGGAGAGTCAGGAGGCAGTCAGGGCAACCTTGCCACCGGCTTGGTGTCGTTTTTGGACCAACGCACACGCACAAATTCGTTTGCCGCGAAGCGTGGCAACTTCTGAGAATGCCTGCTGCACTTCAATATACGCAAGTATGGGAACTTCTGCTTCCTAGCTCATTGTCGCATCAGAAGGTTTTGGGTCGATGCAGGTGCCTACGGTGAAGAATGCAATTTGAGGCAAAGCTGTGCCCCCGCTGTTGGAGCCAGCGAAGCCTCGGGCACAATTCACAGCTGGATAGGTGAGTTAGAATAGTAGCCCCGCGAGGTCGCAAACTTATCCGGATCTATGCTGTGGACCCATTGTTGTTCTAAAATACCATCACTGAATCACTGGTGCAAACTGTGATCTCTGGAATCGCAGGCTCCTGTCGACAGACACATGCTAGCTTTATTCGCATTTCTCAGGAGTCCGTGGCGCAGAAACGTTTCTAAGGCTCGCAAAATGGCAGGTCGCAGAACAATTGTGAGGCTGTGATTGGTCCAAAGAAGATGCTGGCTGCCCTCCACAGGAGACTCAATGAACCAGGGCCGACAACCGAAGCAAGTCGCGATTTCCGCAACAAGGTGCCATGGCAGACAAACACATCCGATTGACGACTTCTAGTTGCCATGGCTCTGGATCAGTGCTAAATCCGGATCCTTGCGCCAGGCGCTCGCTGACCTGAGCAACGTGTTTCGCCTGTCCGTTTTGGGCGCCGGGCGATCTTGAAGACTCCGGGGGTCCTGGAAGCCAAAGCCGCGACTGTTAAGGGCCCAATCGGAATTCTGGGAACATGTGCTAATTTTGTTACAGGGGGACATATGGCTGTTGATGTCCCAGAATCCCGATATAACCATCAAAAGCTGAACTTCCCAGTTGACATATATTGTTTCACTGTTGATGGCTATAGGGGACATATAGCAGTTCAATGGGGAAGCACGTGCTGCAAAGTCTTTCTGGTGGAGCCGTGGCGTGGAACGAAGTGCGCAGTGTGAGGGAGCTGTCGTGTGCAATCATACATGGTCGAGGAGAGTCGTCTTGGGAGCAAGGCACCTGGCGCAATGCTTCATTTATTCTACAATGTACATTCCTTGCAGTCATGTCAAGAGGCTCCCACCATTTCAGAACTAGGGCCCATGCAACAGAGATACCCGTCAAACGGGAGTAACTGTGGGGAAATAACTGGAAATAACCCAGTCCAAAGCCCGACCATTTGACAATCATGGGCCATGTGTGGAACATACTTGCGATACGAAAACAAGTCATTCACGTGACTGCATTATGACGTTCAAGGGGATTCCCGAGTGGCAAGCCACAATCACAGGCCCACCCTAGCTGAGACAAGTCACCGACTCATAACTGAAAGATTGTGGATCTTGCTGGAAACGCAGCGGTTTGCAACATGACATACATGCACAGAAGCGAGAAGTCCCTTGCAACAAAAAGGTCCTGGACACACAAGGAGAACATTTACTTTGCAGCGGATTCTGGTCTCCATTCCTCCCCTATTACAAGGCTGCTACTGAATTTTGCCAATCAGGTGTTGACGGTGCACTACAGCATCATTCTGCCCACCGCCCCGAACAGTGGGGATCCAGTTCATAGTCACGGTGCCTTTACCAGGAAGCTTTACAATGGTCGAAAACCCCTGTCAAAGAAGGGGTTATAGTCCCCACTCCAAGGCAAAACGAGCTCCATGGTCATGGTTGCCCTCCAAGAGACCAGAGAGGCAGGTAAAAGGAAGCCCTAAGGAAGCCTAGGCTCCCTCCGGAATTCTGGGAGCCCTGGAACAGAACAAACAAAACTCCAACTGACAAAGGGTATAGGCCCCGCTGCTAAACGCGAGCTCTTGTTCACTGCAACATATCTCGTCAACAGGACCTGTGCCATCATTCAGACTCCATTTGGCATCTCAGAACCCTAAAACACCAATACTCTAGAGGAGGTGCAACATTCAACTCCAGGTTGTGGGGGTGGCCAATGCTGGGACAGATCGAAGAGGACCGCAAAGGAAAGAGGAGGAAAGAAGAGGAAAGAACCGCCCCCCCTTTCTTCCAAATAATAACACATATGTTTCCTTCAGCTGATTTGCTTGTTTCGGGGGGCGTGGCGTGGGGGGAGCCTTCTTCTTTGGGGAAGGGGTTAAAGTCGACCAAATCAAGCATGGCTGTTCATTCGAATCCGAGCTAATCTTGACGGATCCACAACACTGGCGCGCCTTTCTTCCAAAAACGAATGGGCTGCAAATTCCCAACAATTCCCTCCACTTCCGTCCAAACAAAAACACCCTCCAAGCCCATCTCTTCCGGCCGTCTCCGAGTCTCCGGCCTCGTGCCGAGGCCGCCCTTAGCGCGGCTCAGGATGCTGCGCGCCTTGACGCCCATGAGATCCCCGTACCTTTTGGCCTGGCGGCTTTCAGATTCTTCGGACTTTGGCCATGGGTCAAAAGCCAGATCGGTTTCATCCGGTGAACATCCCAATCCCCATTTTTATAGACTAAAACGGGTGGTGCACCTATCCCAAAATGGCACCATTGGATTTGAACCATGGCCATTTCGGCGCGAAACCTCCGAGCCAGGAAGTGGAAGGGCCCAAGTGGAATGGGTGTTCCGGCGACGCTCTTTTTCGCCGCAGCTGTAAATGCAAAGAGGGAACCATACTTTTGACAGCTTGACATCTGGGGCAATTGAACAAACTCACTTGAGGTTCAAGCATGGACCCCCTTTGAAAGAGTGGGAAACATCCGTTTTCTTTCACGTGGGTCGCTTGGGATTGACTTCTGTCCAAAAGGACCAATTCCAAGGTCAACCCAGGAGTTGGTGAAACACAAACCCAACCCTCTCAAAGTCGACTAAATCACAAGGGCCTTGGGTTTTTTTGGGCCTCCGTGCAAAACCCGCTGTGTTTCGGAAACTGCGGACCTGGGACCCTGGGTTTCGGCGCCTCCGCCGCGTCATCCGGGGAAATGTCGGTGAAGCAGGCGTTCGGGGTGTCGTCCTGAAAAGCAGAGAATGATCGGCCTTTGACCTGCTCAGTACAAAATGTCCGGAACGAGCCCAGGGTGCCCTTGAAGGAAACCACATTCACTCATTTTTTGCTGAGCACCAGCAAGCTGAAGGGGGGCGATGGGACTCCTTTTGGCTCTCGCCTTCCACTGCGCAAGCTGCGGATTCCCTTAGAAACACACGCACACAAATGTGAGCAACGAAAGCAACACCTGAAGCAAGGAAACAAAGATGAGAATCAACCCAGGTCCTTGCAGTAGGCTGCCAGGCACTTGGAGATGCCCACGCAGGAGCAGTTGAACTCCCCCACGATCCACTTCTCCTGGTCTGCCGGTGTTCCCTCAGGAGAGGCGAGGATGAAGTCGGTGGTCCACCACAGTGGAACGGGCTCGTCAGCCAGGCCCAGGGAAGGCATGACATGGGGCAAGTCTCTCTTCAGGAAATTGTCTGTGAGGGCCTTGAACTTAGTCTCCTCCGGACCATAGAAAGTGTAGATTGAGCCAGTGCCGCCCACTGCCGAGATGCCACCCTCCTTGGGCTTCTTGTGGATGATGCCAACCAGACTGTCCACCACCATGTTGTAGCGCAGCTCTCCCTCCACAATTCGCGGGCAAAAGCGCTGATCCACAAGCTGTCCACCGGCAGCCTTGCCACCCTCCAAGTACTTGCCCACTCCCTTGGACGTCCATGTTCCGGACTTGGCCGTGCGCCCGCTCACACAGAACTCGATCAACTCGGCGACTGTGTGCTCTTCTGAGTGGTTGTCGTTAGCTTCCATCATGTCCAGCACCTCATCGTCTGTGCAAGACCGCTCGCCGTAGGTCTTGCAGTAGTTGCCCTTTTTCAGCTTGATGATCCAAATGCCTTCGCCTGAGGAGCCTCGGTTCTGCTTGATCACTCGCGGCTGGAATGCCATGGTCTTCTTAAAACCAGCGGCAAACTCCTCGGGCGAGTAGTATGCCAAGGTGTCCTCCAAGCCAATGTTCAAGTGCGCCACCTTGCACAAGGCATCCTTGGCGCCCATGAACTCCATCACATCGGGGGAAGGCCACACCTGAATGCCCAGCTTGCGCATACCTCGCATGCCTTCATCAAACTTGGCCTGGTCGCCGCCATCCGCTTTGATCTGTCCGGGGTTGCACCGCACGATAATTGCATCAAAATTCTTGCACACATCGAAGAACTTGTCGTGCTCTTGATGCACGTAGTGGATGAGCTGGCAGCTCATGCCAGCGCTGATCATGCCGTTGGCAAAGGGGACGGAATCGTAGCGGTGGCCATTGGAGCTCTTGTCCGATCCGCCATATGGCTGGCTTCGCACATAGATCTGCGCAAGGGCACCTTACTGCATCAAACAGTTTGTTCTGAAGCATCTATTTCTTTGGCGCTGCCCTTGTGTCTCTAAATTGTGTCCTTCCATCTCCCTGCCTCCTCATCACTGTGAAGATATCCCTCCTGATTCTCCATCTGTTGTTCAACAATTCTGCCCCTCCAATATCTTTCACACTTCCGTGAATGTTTTGGTCCTGTCAACATTAGCTTTTGTGCCTGCTTTACGGTGCGACAGGACACTGGGGATCAGTGGCGACCGAGGCATCATACCAAACATCACATGTACCATAGCCACAACTCCTGAATCCAATTCATAGCAACAGTGTTTTTACTTGGAAGCTCTTGAATGACAGTCCCTACTCCAAGGCAAAATGAGTTTTGACCATGGCACAGGCAACTCGACCAAATGGTCGGTTCAAACTTGCTGCTCTCACGGTTGCCCTCTCGAGCAAAAGGAAGCCCAGAACAATGCAGCCTCCCAACTTCCTTTCTTCCTGCAAAGCGGTGCTTTCAGCGATGCACTGCCTTCAAATAGGGGGAGCCTGTGACATGGACATTCAAACTCTATCTTGCAGACTTGAACGCTCCAACGCCAATACCCCCAAAGAGGAGCTTGCAACATTGACCGTGGGGAATGCCCAGCTTGACAATTCGGATCCCACTATTTTACCATCCAAAGGAACTGATCCAATCGACGTAATGAAACCAGAATGTCTGCTTTGGACATGTGAAGCATACCAAGTGTGTGTTGGAGATGTCAAACCAAAACAGGAAGCCGGAAGGTGCTTGGTTGCCCCCTAGTGTAGGTGATTCCTCTTGGCTTGGCCACACAAGTTACATCACCCCTAACATCCCCAACAACTGAACAAACTTACATGAGTCATAATCAAAACCCGGTACACAAATGGTGCACCCAGAACCAAGTAAAGAACTAAGAAACCGGATATCCGCAGCTATTTATGGTTGGGATCGTCCCTTACTAACCTTCATCAATCCCCGGGTTTTGAGCAAGTGGCTCACATGCAAAAAGGTTGGAACCCACCGATTTCCCCCAAGCGCACATGGCCATGGGTCAAAACCCCAGTGAACATCCCAATCCCCACTAAAATAGGTTCTAAAATGGGTGGTGAATTCACCCACCCCAAAATGGGATCCCAAAACGGGTTTGACCCCACATCCCATCTGACTGGCCGCCAGGCGGCACTTGAAGCGAGCCTTCTTGGGCTGAGACACCAGGCCCAGGTTGTCTTTGGCCACCAGCGTCAGCGAGCTCGTGTCCACCGGATTCCTCGCCTAGCCGAATGGGATTCGCCATGCAAGGGGCCCAAAAGAGAGCCCTCGCCCCTGGGTTTTTGTGGGAAACGGGGAAAGTACTGGCTCATTGCCACTAGCCACGAGTGGCCATTTTCAGGGGGACCATTAACTTGTTGATCTAGCCTCTTGCACGCAGCCACGGCATGGGGGAAGGGGAAGCTGAAACTAGTACGCAAACTTGGTGCTTTTAATGGCCCAAATGTCGGCCAAACAGTGTCCAGAGTGGTTTGGTATCATAGTGGTGTCCTGATTCACCAACCATCCCGGATGGGGCCACTGCAAATGGTCCAACATGACCTGCCCAGAAAAGTTGTCAAATGCCTGTGATGGTCCGTGTGTTTCGTCGTGGACCCAACACAAGCGATTCCATTTTTGGACACACATTTCGTAACATTCCCAAGAGTTGCCCTGATAGAACCAACAGTATAATTCTGCAAGTATCACAATTTCATTGCCATTCACAAAGGAAAATAAGGAAATCCCGTAAATGGAGCCTTCATCACGGGTGAGCTTTTCTACCTGCAAAAAGAGCTGGCTGAAAATTAGGCACCGTGGATGGGCTCAAAGAGCTACACATCCACCAAATGGGCTTCTCCCAAACGGATTCATCCCTGAAACAAAAGCAACCAAAGAACAGGAGCCTCCTGCTCAAGCTAGTTGCGGGAACCATCACAGTTTGATAGTTGCAGAGATATCATCAAGAGCCGATTGTGTCTTTCTTATTGCCTAAAGTGTCAGTGCACGTGAAAGAGTGGACTTCCATACAATCAGCTTGCATCAAATGTCCTAACTCTGCCTCCCACATTGACTTCATTCCAGTCTGATCATCGGGATGCCGAAGATTGCACTTTCTGAAATGCTTTTCGGTTTCGACTTGAAGGGAAGCCGCCCAAAAAAAGTTGAAGGACACACTGGACCCCTCCTTGCATTTCCTGATTGAACCAGCGCCTGTTGCTTTCGGCAAACAAGACAACAGGGCTGTCCAACTGTCCTGCCAAGATCAACATTTTGGGGCCACCAACCATTCCTTGGGTGAGCAAAACTAGGGATGGACAACCACACACACCCAAGCACCATGGAGAAGCTGAGTTGAACTCAACCGGTGCTTGCCCATGACCCCAAACACCGGGCGCGGAAAAAGAAACAAAAACAACACGCGCCTTCTCAAGAATGTCCAGGGCCTTGACGCCCATGAGGTCTCCGTACCGCTCCGCCTCCTTCAAATCCTCCAAAGCGATGTCGTTGAAGCAGGCGTTCGGGGTGTCGTCCTGCGGACAGCGGAGCCAGTCTTGCTAGAGAAGTCAAAAGGAAACACTCCAACACAATGTGAGTGTGTGCATGTGGGATATGAATGACCACACGACTGCTTCTCTCACTGGCAAAGCATTAGAGGATGCTTGTGTCACTCTCGTGGTTTTGAAGATGGATTCCGCCCTTCTTATCCAAACCATTGTTCCACAGTTCCGCCAGCGCGCTTGGGTCAAGTGCGCCTCTTGCATGGATCCTTTGACGGCAAGGATTTTCAACGGCAAAAACAACTACAGCAGCCGCAAGACCAAGGCGAAGAACCCTAACCAAAAGGAACTGATAATTGTTCACTGCAATTCTCAAACCTGAAATGAGGGACCCGCAAGAAACATCGCATCATCATGGGTAAGGGTCGAAGTCACTTTGTGTTTTCGCCCGGCAAGGAATAAGTTCTATTACTCGCAAGTACTGCTCCCAGATTCCCTGTGGCTGGTAACCCATCCCCAAGGCCTCCCAGCTCTCCCACAAACCTTCTACCATCTGCGACAGTGATGCCCATCCCAGGTCCTTGCAGTAGGCTGCCAGGCACTTGGAGATGCCCACGCAGGAGCAGTTGAACTCCCCCACGATCCACTTCTCCTGGTCTGCCGGTGTTCCCTCGGGCGAGGCAAGGATGAAGTCGGTGGTCCACCACAGTGGAACTGGCTCGTCACCTAAGCCTAAAGAAGGCATGACGTGGGGCAAGTCTCTCTTCAGGAAGTTGTCTGTGAGGGCCTTAAACTTAGTCTCCTCCGGACCATAGAAGGTGTAGATCGAGCCGGTGCCGCCCACTGCCGAGATGCCACCCTCCTTGGGCTTCTTGTGAATGATGCCAACCAAAGTGTCCACCACCATGTTGTAGCGCAGCTCTCCCTCCACAATTCGCGGGCAAAAGCGCTGATCCACAAGCTGGCCACCCGCAGCCTTGCCACCCTCCAAGTACTTGCCCACTCCCTTGGACGTCCATGTTCCGGACTTGGCCGTGCGCCCGCTCACACAGAACTCGATCAACTCGGCGACTGTGTGCTCTTCTGAGTGGTTGTCGTTAGCTTCCATCATGTCCAGCACCTCATCGTCTGTACAAGACCGCTCGCCGTAGGTCTTGCAGTAGTTGCCCTTTTTCAGCTTGATGATCCAAATGCCTTCGCCTGACGAGCCTCGGTTCTGCTTGATCACTCGCGGCTGGAACGCCATGGTCTTCTTGAAGCCAGCGGCAAACTCTTCGGGCGAGTAGTACGCCAAGGTGTCCTCCAAGCCAATATTCAAGTGCGCCACTTTGCACAAGGCGTCCTTGGCGCCCATGAACTCCATGACATCGGGGGAAGGCCACACCTGGATGCCCAGCTTGCGCATAGCCCTCATACCATCGTCAAACTTGGCCTGGTCGCCGCCATCCGCCTTGATCTGTCCGGGGTTGCACCGCACGATGATTGCATCAAAATTCTTGCACACGTCAAAGAACTTGAAATGCTCCTGATGCACATAGTGGATCAGTTGGCAGCTCATGCCAGCGCTGATCATGCCATTGGCAAACGGGATGGAATCGTAGCGGTGGCCGTTAGAGCTCTTGTCTGATCCGCCGTAGGGCTGGCTGCGCACGTAGATTTGTGCCAGTGCCATCTTGTACTTTGGATTGGCCGGCTGTCGGCGCAATCCCAAATTGTCAGCGGCAACTTTGGTCAATCCAGCAACGCTAATCGGGTTGGCGACCTTATCCAGAATACCTTGGCAAGCTGCAAGACAAAGAACGTGCTTGGCACGGGATGCTCGCACAAGCTCACGTTTATTGCTGAGGAAATCAACCAATGCAATTGAGTTTGGCAGGAGCAACAACGGGCATGCATGTCACACAACTAAGCAACATCATTAAAGGATCGCCAGACTCCCCAACAAAGGCGCCCATCTGCACCTTGAGCACAAAGAATCGCCAAAGCTGTTGGTTCTTGCATATAGTGCTTCCAACGGTCCATACTCATGCCAATACGAATTCCAGTCAGGCCCCAACTTGCCAACCCCAAACACCAAAACACGGAGTCCCACAACCATGAACTCCTTTCTGCAGCTTGTGTTAATCAATGTTGACAAGCTGTTCAAGTCCAAACAACCCTCATGCCCTCTCGAGCACGAAAAAAAAAAACCTTCCTGTTTGCTTTCTTTTGCTTTCCTACTAGAGTCCTATGAGGCAAACAGCAGGGCCCAATCCGGGGTGGGGACCTTTCAAAGCCGACCTCGTCGACCCTGAGGGAGTGGGTGACTTGATCGTGGCGAGAAAACCAGTAACAAGGGTCATACTGAAGTCTCAACTGGCTTCGTGCCGCATTGGCTGGGACTGTCCCTTTCCCCTGGGTAAAATGGTTGTGGTTCTCAAGCGGGTTGCCCAACGCCTTCTGCCCCATGAGCGAGCCATAGCCCTCCGCCTCTTTCAAGTCCTCTGTGGCGATGTCGTAGTAAGATGCATTGGGTGTGTCATCCTGCGCGTCGGATCGAAAGAACAACCCAGCTGCACCCTCGGCCAAGAAAAGCTGTTGCCGAATAAACCCAAGCATTGCAGTTGAAGGCTCCTGTTACAAATGCCTCAAATTGGCCGCTGCATCTGCTACCAACCCAGGTCCTTGCAGTAGGCTGCCAGGCACTTGGAGATGCCCACGCAGGAGCAGTTGAACTCCCCCACGATCCACTTCTCCTGGTCTGCCGGTGTTCCCTCAGGAGAGGCGAGGATGAAGTCGGTGGTCCACCACAGTGGAACGGGCTCGTCAGCCAGGCCAAGGGAAGGCATGACGTAGGGCAAGTCTCTCTTCAGGAAGTTGTCTGTGAGGGCCTTGAACTTAGTCTCCTCCGGACCATAGAAAGTGTAAATTGAGCCAGTGCCGCCCACTGCCGAGATGCCACCCTCCTTGGGCTTCTTGTGGATGATGCCAACCAGCGCATCGCTGATCATGTTGTAGCGCAGCTCGCCCTCAACAATGCGCGGGCAGAAGCGCTGATCCACAAGCTGTCCACCAGCAGCCTTGCCACCCTCCAAGTACTTGCCCACTCCCTTGGACGTCCATGTTCCGGACTTGGCCGTGCGCCCGCTCACACAGAACTCGATCAACTCGGCGACTGTGTGCTCTTCTGAGTGGTTGTCGTTTGCTTCCATCATGTCCAGCACCTCATCGTCTGTGCAAGACCGCTCGCCGAAAGACTTGCAGTAGTCGCCCTTCTTCAGCTTGATGATCCAAATGCCTTCGCCTGACGAGCCTCGGTTCTGCTTGATCACTCGCGGCTGGAACGCCATGGTCTTCTTGAAGCCAGCGGCAAACTCTTCGGGCGAGTAGTACGCCAAGGTGTCCTCCAAGCCGATATTCAAGTGTGCCACTTTGCACAAGGCGTCCTTGGCGCCCATGAACTCCATGACATCGGGGGAAGGCCACACCTGGATGCCCAGCTTGCGCATAGCCCTCATGCCATCATCAAACTTGGCCTGGTCGCCGCCATCCGCCTTGATCTGTCCGGGGTTGCACCGCACGATGATTGCATCAAAATTCTTGCACACGTCAAAGAACTTGTCGTGCTCTTGATGCACGTAGTGGATGAGCTGGCAGCTCATGCCTGCGCTGATCATGCCGTTGGCAAAAGGCATGGAGTCGTACCGGTGGCCGTTGGAGCTCTTGTCCGATCCGCCGTAGGGCTGGCTGCGCACATAGATCTGCGCCAAAGCCATCTTGTAGGAAGGCTTTTTTGGTTGAGGCAGCAAGCCCAAGTCATCCTGACCAGACCCAATCAATTCGGACTGCGCCAATGGGACGGCGGTTCCCATTTTATTTCCCTTTCCCACAACCCCCTATTCGCACGTCTCATTGCGCAGTTTCTCATCGAGAAAGATGAAGGGAATGCGCTTTTGTTGGTTGCTGCTACGTGGAATCCCAGCCTCAAAAGGGTACTCAAAGGGTAACACGGAGTGCTTCAAACCGCAAGGCGGGAAGTTGTCGGGCCGAGACTGATAATCCTCAGACTTGGGTTGAGGTGTCCTGTGCAGAAGAAACCCTTCGGTGGCACCTGAGTCGCACCTAAAACCCCAAAGGAGCACCCAGATTCAGCGAACGCCACTTCCACTTTGTACCTTTTGGCAGGCAAAGAGGGATTCCCAACCATGGCCCTCCCTACATAGAGAGCTGAAACAAACACGAACAAATCCAATACAAAGCATGGAATTCCCTGCTTTACCCCAGTCAAGTTGAAGCAGTCGGCATTGCTGGTGACATGCCCGAATCGTAGTCCAGAAAATGACAATCTGGGCCTAAGCAAGTTCACAGGGGTCGCCCCAAAAGTGATCCGGGTCTTCTCTACACCCCAGTGGTCAAAGCTTGCCGGCTGGACAAAATAGACACATGGAGCAAGCAACCATCAACAAGAAGGCCCCCTTGACAAGCAACGAGGGGCTTGCTACTGCTTTAAGCAACCATTTTCTGGGTCCCCCTTTGTTGGAAAACTTGCGTAGCCTGGGTTTCTTGCGATGCTTTCTCGTCAGCTTGACAACTGTCAGGGTTCGTCAAAAACTATGGCCGATTTCGACTAACCGTTTATAGGTCAACCATACCTCACATCGCCAGTTTCACAAGATCCGGTGAAAAAAACTGCTACTTGTTCCCAAAGTCATCGAATTCAACTTTCTGCCGGGTCTTCTTTTTGAGGTTCGGAACAGCCCTATGCTCGGAGGCTCCTTGGCCACCTTGGTGATGGACGCCACGCTCACCGGCGCCCGCGCAGTCTCCAGCACGCTCAAGGCCTTCACGCCCATGAGGTCTCCGTAGCGCTCCGCCTCCTGTCAAGTAGGGTGAGGTTGGGGGTTGAGTGGCACAGGGATCTTACATTATACACCTGAGCATTGCCTTGTACAGTAAATGGTGGTTTCCCTTTATTCTGGGGGAAAAAGCCATGTTTCAGATGGGCAAAATGGAGATCTTTTAAGGAGCCCTGTGGCAGTTGGGGGGAAAAAGTGGGGGTTGGGGGAGCGGGGAGCGGGGGCTTTGTCTTAGAGGGGTGGACACGAATCAACTGAGTGACCAAAAGCCCTCGACTTTTGATTTGAAGATGCTGAAGAGGATGGGGCCTCCAGCTGTTCATAATCAACCTAAAAGGGAAGCAGTACCTCCATGGTACATGAGGGTTCTTTGAAAAAGGTCAAGGGAATGCGAGCCCATTGGCAAGGGCCCCATTCGGCATTTTCCTCATGACAAGGCTTGTCCAAAGCACAGGTTCGCCGACCTGAAATAAGGATGTGTTCTGCGGGTCGACTAAACTGGTCAACGCCCTGTTTTTGACACCACCGAGGTTACGCGGAAATCGCGGTAAATCCCCCTGGATGACCAAGTTGCCGACAGGTCTAAGGTCCAAAGGGTGACTCCCCATTCTTTTTACCTATTCTTCTTCAACACCAATGGTGCTTTGAACATGTTCTGAAAAGAAGGATCTGCGTTGAAAGAATGGGGGAAAGTGCGGCCAGTTTGCATTTACCACTTGAAGGCACTGTGAGCATGCGGCAGAATGCGGCTTGCCCACAGTGGTCGCTACGCTTGCGGCTTCCGAAAGGTCGAACCTAGCAGCCGGTGCCCTTTGTTGATTGCAAAGGTGCATAGCATGAGCGCAGTTGTCAAAAGGGCACTGGCCAATGCTCATGTCCTTAGATCTTCTGATCTCTGGATATCTCTGGTCCTGATGCTGGCTACAACCACCACACTACATGAGCCAGGGTCACACTGCGCAACACGTACCCGTAATGGACACACGGAATGAGGGCTTCTGTGGTTGATATTGGCCTCCACATACCAAACCCACGATGGACCACCGGTAGCAAATGTTTGCTTGCGTGGAAGCTGGGTCCAAGCTCCACGTGTTGACACATAGTCGAGCCTGTAAAGGGAGGAAGCTGCTTGCTCATCCCTTCTCCAAGGAGGACTTTGGCAAAGTGACCCTTTGGATCATGTCCAACCACAAGACTCCGGTTCAGATTTCACCATGTCTGCCAACCCTTCAACCCAAGCCCAAGACACCCCATCAGAAACAGCTTTCCCATGGTTTTCTAAGATCAAACGGGCCCAAGTCCACAACTTTGAAGGAGTTCGCCGGATCTCCTTGAGATCCTCCGCTGCGATGTCGTCGAAGCAGGCATTTGGGGTGTCATCCTGGCAGCAGAGAGTGGAAGGAGGGTGGATGCTCCATGTGGCTTGAGGCATTGGACAAAACATATGTTTTAAAGAAAAAACCCACCTCTTTTAATTGCATTCCTATTTTTCACGGCCTAAAGTGAGGGATCCGTCTGAAAAGGAACCTCATCATGAAACCTATAATTTGCCCCAAAACAATAGATTGAACATGAAGGATGCGCAGTTTCCTGACTAAACAGCTTGGATTACCACAAGCTGCCCAATCAACAAGGCCCGTGTTAATCACTACTCAACAGGAACCAACATGCTTTTTTGTGTTTGTTTTTGAAGGGACACTGACCAATTCTCAGCGTCTTGGTCTTCTTTGTTGTGCATATACTGTATATGTTGCAAAAAGGCCCAGCCAAGAGGTTCGGGAGAAAAAAGGGAAAAATGTCCTTGCAGTAGGCTGCCAGGCACTTGGAGATGCCCACGCAGGAGCAGTTGAACTCCCCCACGATCCACTTCTCCTGGTCTGCCGGTGTTCCCTCGGGCGAGGCGAGGATGAAGT